CCCTGCATCACACATTCTAGTCAACAATTCTACACTGAGATGGTATCACGCGCTAGGTTAGATCCTCCCCGCCCACCCACGCTTCCGCTTTAGTCCTAGCCCTAGCCGCCCATTCCTAGCTGACCGTACCTAGCCGCCCGGCGCTAGCTGCCTGTTTCGAGCCGCCCGTTTCGAGCCACCCGTCGCTAGCCGCCCATAGCCCCGCGTCCGCTAGCCCCGCGATCGTCAGCCTGCGCTCGCTGGCCCAGAGCTCGCAGGCCCTGTGCCTGCTGGCCCTGCGCACGCCTTCCCCGCGTCCGCCAGCCCCGTGCTCGCTGGCCCCGCACCCGACTGCACCGCGCCGCTGGCCCCGATTTCGCCGGCCCCACGCCCGCTGGCCCCGCTTTCGCCAGCCCCGCGCCTGCTGGCCCTGATTTTGCCAGCCCCGCGCCTGCTGGCCCCGCACCCGCTGGCCCCGCATACGCCCGCCCCGCGCCCACTGGCCTTGCATTCGCCAGCCCCTCGCCGCCGGCCCCTTGTCCCGATGGCCCCCGCGCCTTCTAGTCCCGTGCCTGCTGACCCTGAGCTCATCAGCCCCGCGCTCGCCAACCCTGCGCCTGCTGGCCCCACGCCCACCATCCCTGCGCCTGCTGGCCCTGTGCCCGCCAGCCCCGTGCCTCCTCGCCCCGCGCCCGCCAGCCTAGCACCTGCTGGCCCTGCGCCCGCCAGCCCCGCGCTTGCCGGGCCCGCGTCCGCTGGCCCTGCGCCTGTCGGCTCCGTCACCCCCGCCTTGCTCTCACGCCGGCCCCAGCTCCGCCGACCGCAGCTCCGCAAGTCATAGCCTGCCCCGGCCCTTGCTCCTGCAGAGCCGCGCTGGCCCGCCAGCCTGGGCTCCTCCTCTGAGCCGGCAGTCCCGACGGCAGGCTCCACCGCTCTCCACCGCACTCTGCCGCTCTCCACTGCACTCCATCGCTCTCAAGCGCACTCAACCGCACTCCATCGCACTCCACCGCTCTCCCCTGCTCTCCACCGCGCGACGCCGTTGCACAGCTTGCCATTAGTCACGCCCTCCCCCTGTCTGAGCGTCCCCGCTTCACCGCAATAGCAAACGCAAAAGAGTACTTAGATGCAGTCATTGCATGCTATTCCACTCCCTCAGCCTCTGCCGGCCGCCTGATCCTCCCCATGTTGTTCCCTAACCTTGCACCCTTCCCCACTGTCGCTGAACTCACCACTCACCTCCGCGCACTTGATACTAGCTACCGTGCCGCTAGCACTGAGGCACAGCTTACTGCTTTCCCGCCGCCGCTTTGTGCTACCCATTACCCCATTGCAAGGCGCCTTCCTAGCAACTTAGCCACTACCCACGACCACTTTCTTAGACAGCACCCTGGTGACCTCACCCTTACCGCCTTCGTCACAGCCCTGTCCGCGATAGAGACCTGCCAGCGCACTATCGCCCAGTCTAGCAGTACTGTGGCGGCCCCTATCTTTCACGGATGTGCTCCCTCTCAGTGCACTTACTTTGACGTTTCTGCCACTGTCGCTAGGACAGCCCCTGCTGTTGAGACCGCCACCGCGGCCTCTACGCAGCTGCGTCAAGGTAGGGATCGCTGCCCCAAGGGGGGGCGTGGCGGAGGGAAGGGTGGTGGGGGTGGTGGGGGTGGTGGAGGTGGGGGCAGGGACGGTGGTGCAGACGAGGGGACCGGGGCTGATGCCCTGGAGCAGCAGCTGCAGCAGCCGCAGCAGCAAACGCAGCAATAGCAGTTGCCATGGGTACCCCCCCCGCCGTGGTGGCCTGGCGGCGCTGGTGGTGTTGGTCGTGGTGGTCGGGTGCGCAGCCCGGTGTCAGGTGGCGGCTCCAGTGTGGTCACCTGCCAATACCAGCTTCAGTCCAGCCCCCGCCGCGGCACCGTCTGAGACCGTCAAGGGCACACCGCCGCCCGCTGCTACTGCCGCCTGGACGACCTCTTTCGTCTCCACTTCGGCCCCACGTCGGACCCCCCTGAATGGTAGAGCCTGGTGCGTCGCCGTGTCCCTGTCTTTGAGATGGACATGGATCAGATTAGGTCTGCTCTGTATGCCATGTATGCTGATGACTCTAGTGTGAATGGACCCTATTACCCGGTGTTGCCTAGTGTAGGTGTCTCTCCTTTATGTAGTCTAGTTTCCCCGGCTGCATCAGGCGTATGACCACCTGCCTTGTTTAGTCTTGGCTCCACCCAAGCTCCTCTGCATGCCACCGCTACCGCTGCGCTCTCGTTTACACTAGACTCTGGTGCGTCCGCCTGTTTCTTCCACGACCACACTGCACTCACGCCGCTTGCTGCCCCTACCGCTGTAGCGCTTGCTGACCCCTCCTCCAGTCCGGTAGTTGCCCGTAGCTCCACTACCCTTCCCTGTTCGGCGGTTCCCTCGGGCTCTCTTACAAGCCTGCACATCCCCTCGTTCTCCACGAACCTAGTTGGTGTCGGCTGTCTTCAGGACCTCGGCGTCACCACTACGTTCGGTGGACACGAGCGGTACATAGTCTGTACCGAGGCCACCACTGGTGCCCCTCTCACCAGGACCCCGTGTCTGGCCTGTTTCCCCTAGACACCACGTCCCTCCCGGTGGGAAAGTCCCCCCAGGTCGCCGCGTCCTCCGAGGTTGCTGCAGCTTGCTCGTGTCGGTCTCTCACCCACCCGTTGCTTCTGTGGCACCATCGCTTAGGTCACCCTGCACTCCCGCGTTTGCGTCACATGTCCCATCACGGTCTTGTCTTCGGTCTCCCTGCATTGCTCCATGCCCTACCTCCCTCGTCTGTGCCGCCGTGCATGCCCTGCATCGAGGTTTGGCTGCGCTGTGCTCCTCACTCATCCTCGCTTCCCCCTACCACTGCACTACTCCAGACCCTGCACCTGGACGTTTGGGGCCCAGCCCCGATCCCTGGGCCGCATCAAGAGCGCTACTTCCTAGTGCTTGTCGACACCGCGGTGGCCCCCATGGAGCGTAAGGTTGACGTGCCTGACGTTCTTATCCCCTGGGTCGTAGCTGCGCGAGTCCACCGCGGCCTCCCTGTGCTGCTCTTCACTCCGATCGTGGCGGCAAGTTCGCCTCTGATCCGCTTGGCCAGTTCTGTCATGCAGAGGGCATCACCTATTCGTACACCCTGCCGAACTCCTCGCAGCAGAATGGGGTCACTGACAATGCATCGGTTTGGTCATGGAGGTGGCTCGTACCTCCATGATCCATGCTGGTGCACCCCATTTTCTGTGGAAGTTCGTTATTCGCTACGCCGCTCACGAGCATAACCTGTGGCCGCACTCCCAGTGGCCGCAGGTTTCGCCGACCCTTCTTTGCACCGGGTTCCCTGGTAACGCGCCTGTGCTCCACGTCTGGGGCTGCCTCGCTAACGTCCGTGCCTCTGGCACGGACAAGCTCACTGCCCGCACCGTCCCTTGTGTCTTCCTCGGTTTCCCCCTCGACACGTCTGATTGGCACTTCTACCACCCGTCGTCTTACCGTTTCTTTCACTCTCGTGACGTCACTTTTGATGAGTCTATCTCCTTCTACACCTGCTTCCCTAACGAGATCTTCCGGTTGCCCCACCCGTGATCCTGGTCCCCACTCCTCCGGTAGCCCCTACTCCTCTTCCTCCCCGTCTTGCCCCGTCTGGTGTGTCTCAAGTCCCTCCCCTCCTGTCGTTTGTTCCGGTGGAGGATTCGACTGACTCCAGGGGTGCCGTGGCTTCGACTTCGCCACCTGTCTCCACCGCGGTGTCTCCTCCTTCTCTTCCGCAACCGCCGCAGCAGCTGCCATCGCAGCAGCAGCCGCCGTAGGGGTCCGCGAGCTCGGGGGTGTGGACGTTGAGGAGGGTGCTAGTCCTGGGGGTATTGTCGTGGCTTGTCCCGGCGGTCCTTGGGGTGGAACCGGTGCTGGAGAGGGTTCTCGTTCCGGGGGTGCTGTCGTGGAGCATCCCGGAGGTAGCTGTGGTGCAGCTGGAGGTTCTGGTGTCGGTGTAGAGCAGCAAGAGCAGTCGCCGCCGATGCCCGCCCTTCATCTCCTCAGTCTTCCCTCCCCTGGTTGCCTGTTTGCGCCTTCCTTGCTTGTCTACGGTCCTGTGCTTCCTCCGCCGGACTCGTCTCCGACTCGTTTCCCCCTGCGTTCTCCTCCTGTGTCTCCTCCTGTGTCGCCTGACCCGACGCCTCCGTCCCAGTTCTGGTCTCGCCGTCCCTCTCGTGCTCGTCCTGTCTCTCGTGTCCAGCACTCTCACCCTGTGTTGCTTCGTTCCCGCGCATCTCGTCCTCCCCTCCTCTCGTCGCCTCCTCCGTCGTCGATGGTTGTCGCTCCGCCTCCCTTGTCTGACTTCCTCCATGCCGCTAGTCCTCTTGTTCCTCAGGTCATCGCCTCTCTTATTACCGACCCGTCTGTTCCTGTCTCCAGTCTTGACGCTCTTGTCGCTGCCGTTACTGACATTGCCTCTACCCACCGCCTTGACTACGCCACTGCTCTGGTCTCTAAACATGCCCGTCCTCCGTCTGTCGGAGGTGCTCCCGCCCTTGGTAGGGACGTCCTGGATGACCGGCAGTACGAGCTTGCTTTCTTATCCGAGGTTGCGCCTCATCTCTGCTCCATGTTGCTAGTCCCAGAGGGTGACCACGATGCCCTTTAGATCCCGACCCCTCGCACTTACGCTGAGGCAACCTCGGGACCCTGGGACTCTCAATGGATAGTTGCCGTGGACGCAAAAATGGCATCTTGGAGATCCATTGGCACCTACGAAGACACAGTTCCCCCACCTAGTGTGAGAGTACAACCCCGTTCCATTCCTTTCTCCTTTCCATCTTCCCTTTCCATTTCATTCCTCTTTTTATCATGATTCATTTGGTCTTTATCTCATCCCATTTAGATTCCTATTTCTTCTTTTCCATAAACCTTTGGTTTATCCTATTATTATCATTATATCACCGACCAGGCTCGCGATGTACTGGTACGCTATATCTAGCGTAATCCTGTCGTAATCCCTTAAAGCCAATAGCCTCGCGTGGCTATACGCATGGTGGTTCTATTTCTAGAAGGGTCTATTCCCGTTGGATAGAAATAAACCTGATTACCTGATGTATTATGGAAGTATAAAAGCACCTTACACTGATTGATAGTAGAACATTGAGCTAAACCTCATTCGATCCTGTGACACTTGGTAATCAGAGCTTTTCTCACTCGGCCGCGCTCAGCTAAGCAACAGCAGCGGGGGATCCTGCCTCGAAAAACCGCCGGGGGCGACCAATTCGACGCCGATTCTGGTAAGCACCAGCTCCGCGTTTTTTCGAATTACCCCCTCCGCGCGTGTTTTGAACAGGATGGTGAACTTCGACAACGCCGAAGTTACCCAGCAGCTCTTCGTACGCATCACAGCCCTACAGGAGGAGATGCGAGCCGAAGCTTGGCGAAACGAGTTCGAGCGAGTAACTCGACTCGCCGGCGCGCAACACGAAACGACAACGGCGACGACACGGCAGTCGTAGCAGTTTCTCGAGGCTCCGAAACCGCGCCCACCTGAGCCGTTCGATCCGAGCGATCGAAATTCCGACGTCCGCAGATGGATCGCCGGCATGGAGAGCTACGTCGCAGCCGTCGGATGGAGCTCGCCAGTCTTGGGTGGTCAACGCGTGCGACTCGCAGCGACACTGATGCAAGGGCCGGCACTCGAGTGGATTGGTGGTAATAGCACCTTCATCCACGGCGAAGCCACGTGGCAGCAGTTCCGCACCGATCTGCTCACATGTTTCGAGCCGATAAATTCGGGTTTCCTTGCCCGGGAAAAAAATCATCGCCATCGACAGTTCGGGAGTGTAGCGCAGTATACGCAGAAGATGGAGGAATTTTATAACCGCATTCCCGACATGACCGAAGGGGAAAAGGTACAATCGTACATCGCCGGGCTAAAGACCGAAGTCAAACGACAAGTGGCAGCAACAAACTATGCGAGCTACAGTGACGTCGTATCGGCCGCGGAACGCTTCGATATGGTCAACGCCAAGACACGACGGACGCACGTCGGCAGTACACGACAGGGCAACCGCTCGGCTCACACTAAGTTCGCCGACCCGATGGAAGTCGACAGGTTCGAAGGGCGGCCACGTCCGAAAAACACCAACTACACGTGTGATTTCCGCGGGGTGCCGGGTCATCGAATCTTCGAGTGCAACAAAATGAAAGCCGCACGCGCTGAGTATCGGGCATGCAACAGTGGCGAAAATCCTTCGGCCAATCAGAAGCCAAAAAACGAGACTCGCCAGTAATTGCGGATCTAGCTGGTGAAAAATAAAAGGTCCGAAAGCGGCCGCGGACTTCCAGAAAAATCAACTTCGACGCAGCTGATTCGACGCGAACAGGAGAAAATGATGGGGGAAAATCTCCACCCCACGACTAGTCTTTGCCAGAGGAAATTGCAGAGGAAAAATCTAACTCCGCAAAAAAGGACTCTGCCAAGACGGGGAAACTTCTTGAAGACCCAAGAAATTATAAGGATTTGTTAAAGTTTAGGTACAAAGATGCTTTAATGAAAACTTGTAATTCTCGAGAGGATAGAGCCTTGGAGAAATTTTGGGAGGGACTCCAGAAGAAGCAGAAAATTGTGGAGATCATACCGGTACCGGAGAACTTGGGGACCAAATTAAGAAGTGTGGAAAGAAGCCGACATTTCAACGGAGTCAACATCCTCTCCCGACACCAGCCCACAGCGACTACCCGTTCCCCAGGGAAGACGTCGGTGGAGCTGAAGCAGCTCAAAAGGAAGCTGGGGGTCTACAAGAAGCTGCAAAAACCCTGAACAGTCGTCACGGAAACTCCGGGCCCTGGAGAAGAACCTTTCTCCAAGCAGCCTCGGCCAGCTGCCAGCTCAGGAGTAGGAAGCAACGAATATTGGGATGTACCCTATGACCCAATCAATGAAACTATCTTTGGGTTCTCCGAGCAACGCCTGCCCCTCGTGCTCGAGGTCATCTGCAAAGGACGACGCCTCCAAGCACTTGTGGACAGTGGAGCATCACACACTGTATGCGACAAGGCAACCATCGACCGACTTCGAGAAGAGTACAAGCCATCAGCGTTTTCTGCAACGAGTGTACGTTACCAGTGTACGGCGAAGCAGTGCTTCACCTACAAATCGGTCCACTGCGCTAGAAACCTGCTCTCCCCATCACCAACATAAAAGGGCTTGACCTGATCTTCGAGCGAGACTTCCTCAAGAAATTCGACCCCGAGATCAACTGGGTAAACCGCACCACAAGCATCTACAACAAAGGAAGGAGAGTCCGGCTACCCAACAGGGACGATACAGGAGATATCCTAGTGGAGACACTCGCCAGATTCGAGAAGGACGTGAAACGAACCGACACCGGGTTCCTGGCAATAGCAATAGAGGTGGAGAATGACGGAGAGAAAGCCTCGGAACCTCCAGAAAAAATCAAGGACTTACTGAAGGAGTTCTAAGACATTCTTCCCAACGACCTCCCAGACAAACTACCGCCATACCGAACGCACCAACACGAGATCGTGGAGGAACCAGGTTCGAAACCGACCTTCTGAGCACCATATCGGCTAAGCCCCACAGAACTAGCCGACATGAAGAAGCAGATCGAGTATCTCCTCGCCAAAGGACTCATCCGACCATCCACTTCACCATACGGCGCCCCAGTACTCTTCACACCGAAACCGGACGGAAGCCTGTGCATGTGCATCGACTACCGAGCTCTCAACAAGCAGACCATCAAGAACAAATATCCAATACCATGAATTGATGACCTGCTTGACCAGCTTCAGGGAGCTACGGTATTTTCAAAACTAGATCTGCGGTCCGGATACTGGCAGATAAGAATGGCGGACGATTCCGTTCACAAAACAGCCTTCCGAACTCGGTACGGATCTTACGAGTATTTGGTCATGCCGTTCAGACTCACCAACGCACCTGCAACATTCCAAGCAGAGATGAATCATATCCTACGCCCACTCTTGGACGAATGCGTGGTGGTGTACCTGGACGACATCCTCATCTACTCGCGCGGCATGCAAAAACACGTCGAGCACCTACGACGCGTCTTCGGAATTCTTCGACAAGAACGCTTCTACGTCAAACTATCCAAGAGCGACTTCGCCCTCGAGAAGGTCCAATTCCTCGGACATATCGTAAGCGCTCAAGGAGTTCACGTCGACCCCAAGAAAATCGAAGCCGTGCGTACGTGGAAGACACCCGATAACATGAAGGAGTTACAGCAGTTCATTGGCTTTGCTAACTACTTCAACAGGTTCGTGCCATAATACGCGACGATCGCCACGCCACTCATGAATATACTAAAGAAGAACACGCCTCATAAATGGGAGCTACAACACCAGGAAGTCGTAGAGCAGTTGAAACAAGCACTCACGTCCTCACTCGTACTCATCTTGCTAGACCCCGAACGCGACTACGTCATCGAAGCTGACGCCAGCGACCTGGCAATGGGAGTAGTCTTGATGCAAGACCAGGGGAATGGCCTGCAACCCATTGCATACCTCAGCAAAAAATTACATGGAGCAGAATTCAACTACCCGATACACGATAAGGAGGCCTTTGCTATCATCATCGCCTTCAAAACGTGGAGATGTTATCTCGAAGGACGCAAGACGACAGTCTACACCGACCATTGCAGCCTAAAATATTTGAAGACGCAACCAAGCCTCTCCAGGCGGTAGGTCCGGTGGATTGACTTCCTTGAGACACACTTCCACTACGACATCGTGTACAAGCCCGGCCACAAAAACAAAGCAGACGCGCTTAGCCGACCTGCACACGTTGCCGCTATCCAAGTTGAATGGATGAATCCACTCGTCAATGGACTCTTCACACATGGGTATACCATCGACCCCGAAATTCCCTTGGCAGAGAAGCGACATCTGGTACAGTGGGACAACGACATCGCGTACCGGAAAGGATGAATGAAGATCTGGGTAAATACTACCCTCCATTGTGCCAGTTACTACTCGAAGAATACCACGACGTCCTGTACGCAGGACACTTCGGTAGCAACAAGACGCTCACCGGTATCGCCAAACACTACTACTGGCCCCATATGGCAGATGACAAACATAAATTCGTCACCTCGTGCACTCCATGTCAGCGGATGAAGAGCAGCAAGCAGAAAAAGGTGGGTTTGCTACAGCCTCTTCCTATCCTAGAACAGCCATGGCAAGTGGTAAGCCTAGACTTCATCACCGGGCTACCAACTACCACAAGCGGTCATGACGCGATCCTCGTCGTCATCGACAAGTTCTCCAAAATGGGACACTTCATCCCGACACACACCACAGCACGCACTGAGGAGACAGCACAACTCTTTGTTCGCTACATCATCTCACAACATAGTATTCCGACCACACTCATCTCCGACCCAGACCCTAAGTTCACCAGTAAATTCTGGAAAGAAGTGATGTCTCTGCTCGGGACCAAACTCGCCATGTCATCCGCCTACCATCCGCAGACAGATGGATAGACCGAGCGCCTCAACCAAATTGTGGAGCAACTGCTCCGCGCAGCCTAGAAGGACGACATCTCCAAATGGGACTTGCATCTGCCCATCCTGGAGTTTGCCTACAACAATGTATCAACTTATACATGCGTTGTATGTAGAAGTTATAGGCTAGCCTAGGTGTGTGCTTCTAGTGAGTACAACCCCAGCAGGTATAAGTTCTAGGTTTCTCACACTAGTCAATTCATTCCTGTATTCTAACATGGTATCACGCTTAGGTTAGGTCCCCCGCCCACCCGCTTCCGCCTACGCCCTACCCTACGCGCCCTAGCTAGCCCCTTAGCGCCTGGCCCCTTCGCGCTCGCTAGGCCCCCCCTCGCGCCCGCTAGGCCCCGTCGCGCCCGCTAGGCTCCGTCGCGCACGCGCGACCCGTTACGCCCGCCCGGCCCCTGCCGCGCCCTCTCACGGCCTCCCGGCCCCTTTCGCGCCCGCTTGGCCCATAGCTCCAGCCCGGCCTTTTGCGCCAGGCCGGCCCCGTCGCGCCCGCTCGGCCCCTCCTAGCTCCCGCACGGCCCTTTGACCGCCGGTCCGGCCCCTCCCTAGCGCCCGTCAGGCCCCCGTAGCGCCCGCCCGGCCCCTCCTAGCGCCCGCGCGGCCCCCCGTAGCGCCCTCTCGGCCCCTCCTAGCACCAGCCCGGCCCCAGCAGCGCCCGCCCGGCCTCCTCCTAGCGCTGCCCGGCCCCTCCTAGCGCCAGCCCGGCCCCAGCAGCGCCCGCCCGGCCTTCTCCTAGCGCCACCCGGCCCCTCCTAGCGCCCGCCCGGCCCCAGTCGAGACTGCCCGGCCGTCCAGCGCCTGCCTGGCCCCTCCTAGCGCCGGCCCGGCCTTTAGCGCCCGCCCGGCCCCCCTCCTAGCGCCCGCCCGGCCTTTAGTGCCCGCCCGGCCTCTCGCGCCAGCCCGGCGCCGTCGCGCCTGCCCGGCCCCTCCCAGCGCCCGCCCGGCCCTAGTGCGCCCACCCGGCCCCTCCTAGCGCCCGCTGGCCTTTAGCGCCCGCCCGGCCTCTCGCGCCAGCCCGGCCCCATTTTGCCTGCCCGGCTCCCAGTGCCAGCCCGGCCCCTTTCTACTGCTTGCCCAGCCCCTCCTTGTGCCTGCTCGGCATGTCGCCCCACCTCGGGCCCCGTGTCTTCTGCTCGCCCGCGCTGGAGCGCCTCGCAGCCGCCCCACTGGAGAGTGCTGCCACCGTGTCCCCGTGCCGCTGTGCTCCTGCTGAGCTGTGGAGCTGTGCCGCTGTGTCGTTGCGAAGCTGTGCCGCTGACCCTGCACGATGGCTGACTTCGTGCTCTAACTGGACGCTGAGGGCCACGCGGTTGACTTCGCCGCCTGGCTCTCCGATCTTCGCCGTTAGCTTACAGGTCAGCGCCAAGATGGGCACTCTTTGGTGGTCCATGCTGATGGCTTGCTCCCCCGCCCCCCTGCACCTGCTCCCCTCCCTGCTGACCCCACCTCTGCTGAGAGTGAGGCTTTCTCTACTGCTGCGCTTGCCTGTGCTGTCTGGGACTCTCGCGATGCGGTAGCTCAGATTGCCATCAATCACGCCCTCCCTGTGTCTGAGCGCTCGCGCTTCGCTACGCTTGATACGGCCAAAGCTTATTTAGACGCTGTTGTTGCTCGCTATTCCACGCCTGCATCCGCTTCTGCCGGCCGCTTGCTCTTCCCGATGTTGTTCCCAGACCTTGCTGCCTTCCCTACGGTTTCAGACTTTGCCACTCACTTGCATGCTCTACAGTCTTGCTATCGCACTGCCAGCACTGCTGCCCAGCTCACTGCGCTCCCCCCCCATTCTGCATGATGCTCTATTTTATCGCCATGCGCCTGCAGGACTGCCTCGCTAGTGCTCGCAACCGCTTCCTTAGCCAGCACCCGGGTGACCTCACCCTGACCGCCTTTGTCGACACCCTCACCGAGATCGAGACTCGCCAGCGCACTATCGCTTAGTCGAACGGTGTGCCGGCAGTCTCTATCTTTCACGGCTATGCCCCCTCCTAGTGCACGTTTACTGACGTTTCGGCTGCGGTCGCCACTGCGACCCCTTTTACCGAGACGGCTGTTGCGGTCCACCCGCAGCAGCGCCCGCGCCGCACTGGCCATGGCCACCAGGGCGGTCGTGGTGGTGGAGCTGGTGGTAGTGGTAGTGGTGGTCGTGACGGTAGTCCGCCTGACGAGACTACCACCGGTGGGCAGGAGCAGACGTAGTCGCCTCCGCAGCAGGAGCAGCCCCAGCAGCAGCCGCCGTCACAGCAGCAGCCGCCGCAGCCGTGGGCTCGTCTCCCGCCTGGTTGGCCCGGTACCTCCGGAAGTGGTGGCCGTGGTGGAACCCCGCGCAGCTTGGCATCTACCGGCAGCTCCGTTGGTGTGACCTGCCAGTACCAGCTTCAGACCAGGCCTCTCCGCGGCACTGTGTGCCACCGCCCGCACCCGACCGCTCGCTATTTCCGCCGCCTCGACGATCTCTTTCGTCGTCGCTTTGGCCCGGCCCCGGACCTCCCCGACTGGCACAGCCTGCTCCGCCAGGGCGTGCCGATCTTTGAGTTAGACATGGATCAGATAGGTGCTGCTTTGCATGCCTTGTATTCTGACGCTTCTAGTGTTGCTCGATCTTATTACCCTATGTACTCTAGTTTAGGTGTTGCACCCTTGTGTAGCTTAGCCTCCCCTGCTGCGTCAGGCGTAGGACTGCCTAGTTTGCCTAGCCTAGTTTCTGCACCGGCTTCGTTCCTGGCCTCCGCTACTGCCTAGCTGTCCTTCACTCTCGACTCCGGTGCTTCTACCTGCTTCTTCTGTGACCGCTCCATGCTCACGCCGCTTGCTGCGCCTGCTGTTGTCTCTCTTGCTGACCCCTCTGCGGGTTCTGTCGCCGCTCGCAGTTCCACTTCCCTTCCTTGTCCAGCCGTTCCCTCGGGCTCTCTTACAGGCCTCCACGTTCCCTCGTCCTCTAGGAACCTGGTTGGTGTCACCCTGCTCTCCCGAGTCTGCGTCACATGTCTCAGCACGGTCTTGTCTTAGGCCTCCCTGCGTCGCTCCCTGCGCTTCCCCCCTCGACTGCGCCACCGTGCACGACTTGCGTCGAGGGCCAGCTCCGCCATGCTCCTCACTCCTCCTCGCTTCGCCCTGCTACTGCCCCCCTTCAGACCCTGCACCTGGACGTTTGGGGCCCGGCCCCCGTCCCCAGACCGCGAGTTGAGCGCTACTTTCTTGTGCTCGTCGACAACTACACGTGCTACACCACGGTGTTTCCCCTGGAGCGGAAGGCCGACGTGCCCAACATTCTTCTACCGTGGGTTGTGGCTGCGCGTCTCCACCACGGTCTCCCCGAGTTGTGTCTCCACTCCGACCGTGGCGGCGAGTTCGCCTCTGGTCGGCTTGGGCAGTTCTGTCGTGCGGAGGGCATCACCCAGTCGTACACCTTGCTGGACTCGCCATAGCAAAATGGGGTTGCTGAGCGCCGCATCGGCTTGGTCATGGAGGTGGCTCGTACCTCCATGATCCATGCCGATGCCCCCCATTTTCTATGGCCGTTCGCTGTTCGCTACGCTGCTCACCAGCTTAACCTGTGGCCCCGCTCCCAGCAGCCGTAGGTTTCACCGACCCTCCTTTGGACCGGGTCCCCCGGTGACGCGTCAGCGTTCCACGTCTGGCGTTGCCTTGCTCACGTTCGTGCCTCTGGCACGGACAAGCTCACTGCCCGCACTGTCCCTTGCGTCTTCCTTGGTTTCCCCTTAGACTCGTCTGACTGGCTCTTCTACCACCCGCCGTCTCACCGCTTCCTCCACTCTCGTGACGTCACTTTTGACGAGTCTGTCTCCTTCTACCGTCGCTTCCTTCACCGAGGTCTCCCGGTTTCCCCACCCCTCTTCCTTGCTCCCTCTCCCCCGGTAGCCCCTGCTCCCCTCCCGCCTCGTCCTGCCCCGTCTAGCGTCTCTCACGTCACTCCCCTCCCGTCGGTTGTCCCCGTTGAGGAGTCTGCTGACTTTGGTTGTCCCCCCGGCCCGCCCTTGTCGCGTCTCCCTTCCCCGGTGTCTCCACCTCCGCTGTCGCAGTCACTGCTGCCGCTGTCGCAGTTGCAGCCGTTGCCACCGCCGCCGCCGCCGTCGCAGCCGTTGCCGCTGCCGCCGCCGCCGTCACAGCCGATGCCGCTGCCGCCACCGCCGCCGATGCCGCTCTTGGCCTCTAGGGGTGCTGGCGTTGAGGAGGGTGCTCGTCCTGCGGCTCCTGGCGTCGTCTGTCCCGGCGAGCCTAGGGGTGCCGCTGGTGCTGGAGGGAGTTCTCGCTCTGGGGGTGTTGGTTCTGGGGGTGCTGCCGTTGAGTGTTCTCCCAGCTGTCGTCGTGCCTTTGCCGGTCCGGGGGTCGGGCACCAGCCGACGTCGCACCCGTTGCAGCCGGTCTCCGCTCTTTGCCTGCTCGGCCTTCCCTCCCCTGAGCGCTCGCCGGTGTCTCCCCCGCCACCTCCTCACCATCCTGTCTACGGCCCTATGTTCCCGCCGCCGGACTCGTCTCCGGCATGTCTTCCTCCTCGTTCCCCTCTTTTGTCACCTCCGCTGTCTCCTGACCCTACCCCTCCGTCCCACGTTTGGTCTCGCCGTCCCTCACGTGCTCGTCCCGTCTCTCCTGTCCTGCGCTCCCACCCTATGTTGCTCCGTTCCCACTCGTCTCGTCCTCCCCTCCTCCCGTCGCCTCCTCCCTCGTCGCTTGTTGTTGCCCCTCCCACGCTGTCTGACTACTTCCGTGCCGCTCGTCCCCTTGTCCCTCGGGTTCTTGCCTCTCTTGTTACAGACCCGTCTGTTCCTGTCTCGTGTCTTGACGCGCTTGTCGCTACTGTCGCTGACTTCGCCTCTACCCGCCGCCTTGACTACGCTACTGCTCTGGTCTCTGACCCTGCCCGCCCTCAGTCCGTCGGGGGTGCACCTGCCCTTGGCAGTGACGTTCTAGAGGACAGGCAGTACGAGCTTCCTTTCCTTTCCGAGGCCGCTCCCCATCTCTGCTCCATGCTCCTA